GTCTGCCTTCGGCTCAGGTCATGATCCCAGGGTCCTGGGATCGAGTCCCGCATCGGGCTCCCTGCTGGGCGGGGAGCCTGCTTCTCTCCCTCTGCCTCTGCCTCTCTCTCTCTCTCTCTCTCTCTGACTTTCATGAATAAATAAATTAAAAAAAAAAATTAAAACAAAACAAAAAAAAGTTTTCTAAACTAATAAAAACACTTAATTTAAAATTAAAAAGAATGAAATAATAGTTGAATATCTAGAAGCAATGCTAAAATAATTCTTTTTGAGGTTTTTATAGCTTTTGGAGGGATAGAACTTATAATGAACCATTTTTAAATGACAAAATCTATTTATATGTGTGAGCAGTTTCAGAGAGTTAAAAAGCTATAACCCAGAGTTAAGAAATAAGTTTAAATTGCTTATTTCTCTTTGTCAACAATGACCACATATTATTTTAGATGAGAAGTATTTCTTGGTTGCCAACTCTGTATCAAGCACTATGATAGCAGGCGCTAGGACAGACAGACAAGGATCTTGATGACGTGGTTGATACAGAGTGGCAGGAGAAAACAGACCATTAAGGAAACAATGAAAAGTGAAAGGTCTTATAGTAAGGGAAACATAGGGTGCTATCAGAAGCACTTGGCAGGGCATCATCAAACTTAATCTCTGAGGGTCAGAACAGGAGGTGACCTTTAATCTGAGTCCTATAGGATGAGTAAGAGTTAATAGGAGAGAAAGAGAGTATTTTAAGCAGAGGGAACAAAATCTGAGAAGGTCTGGAAGTAAGAAGGGATGCTTCTTGTGTTAGAAATCTAATGCTAAAAAAAAGTCCAGTGTTACTTTCTGTATCCTTATCTTTCATATTTTCAGATTTTATTTTGGGCAGATATAATATAGCAGTTGGATCTTGTTTATTTCTAAGTCCCTCGCACTGAGCAGAGTGTTTAACACTTAATACGTGGTCAATGAGTATTTGTGAATGACTGATTAACTCTGTAATGTCTGCTTTCCTGCTGGGCTATGTCGTGTCTCAGGAGGATGCCTTGGAGATATGTCAAGAGTAATCAGGCTGTTCATTTCTCTTGGAGAAGCCTGGGTTATACCCAGATCACCACGTGGAATCCTTTAAACTTAGAATAAGTAGAATTGGGCCCTTTCAGGTACCACTGGACACCTGGCCCACCCCTATTCTGGTCCCACTCCAGAACTAAATCATGTTTAATGAGAATGTTGGGAAGGACAGTTGGTTCTGGGTGCCTGCTTGGTTTATTGATGTGGACGAATAATGTTGGGCAACAGTGATCATCCTCAAACACTGGAAAGTTTGTTAGCTTAACAAATCCACTGGTTTCGATGTTCTTTAAAAACCGCAGGAGTCCATTATGATTTCTCTTTATGCTTTTGCTTTCTGGAAAGATACAGATATAATTGAATGAGAAGGTTTTTAGGTTAAAAAGAAAAATCCTTCAAAGGAGAGAAGAATTATAAATGTGTCTTATCCTGTCTTTTCAGATGATGCTAACCAGCATCTCTATACTTTGGCCATGTTTTGTGTAAAACATTTGGTAGGCTGTTATGTTTCCTTTTGACTTGAGAAAAACTCCCAAATCCTTTTGAGAATGTAGGAGTTTTAATCTCCTCCTAGTGTTCATTTCACCTGGAGATTATTTTTCCATTATCCATAGCTCTAATTCTTTGCAGAAGATGGTGACTCACTGTGCTTTTTAATGAAAATTGGAATGATAAATTTAAAAGTTCAAAACAAGTTCATGAAAAGCAAGTACAGAACAGAGATAAAATGAGATGTTTTCCCCCTCTTTTCTGAACTCAACCTTTAAAAAAAAATCTAGGATGCTTTATTTCTTTTGAAACTAGCATTAGGAAATAAAGATTACATAATGTTCAAGTTAGCTCAAACCAGTGTGCTTTTTTCCCCTACCATTTGAAATTTTAGAAAAAAAGCAAAACTGGCTCTGATAATGATACAAATAAACTATATTAAAATAATAATTATGTAGCGTGTTAGAGCATCAGTCCTTTTTTTTTTGGATTCTGAGATGTTTTTCCCCTTCAATATCTTTCTGTCATTCTTATGCAAATTTACAGTTATACAATATTTTAAATGGAGAATTTAAATCTTTATTAAAGTAATTAATCTTTGTTAAATTGCCTTTCTAGGTGATTTCTATAAGTTTCCATATCTTGCTGGAGTCTTTCTTTTTTTCCTACTGTATGCTTTTAATATGAGTGTGCATTTGCTGAAATGTCTTGATTTTTTTTTTTAATAGAAGTGAAGCACGGGTTCTGGTAAAGAGTAATTCTAAGATACTAATAGAACATTGTCTGAATTGTTATTTTACAGTTTATCTTGATTATAATTGTCTTTACTGTAAAACTATTAAGAAAATTGTTAAGCAGGATGGGGGAGTGCCTCTTTCCACAGATTCTGTATAAATTCTCCCTTAGTTTATATGGTAACCCCTCCCCCCAGTATTGGGAAACAATCTTATAGACTTGGTCATAGCCGGACACTGCCATTAGGAGTTAAAACATAGAAACATGGGGCGCCTGGGTGGCTCAGTTGGTTAAGCGACTGCCTTCGGCTCAGGTCATGATCTTGGAGTCCCGGGATCGAGTCCCACATAGGGCTCCCTGCTCAGTGGGGGGTCTGCTTCCCCCTCTGCCCTCTTCCCTCTTCCCTCTCGTGCTCTCTGTCTCTCATTCTCTCTCTCTCAAATAAATAAATAAAATCTTTAAAAAAAAAAAAACCAAAAAACATAGAAACATGCTCTGCATAAAGTTATGTTTGCAGCAGGAAATTGTAACAATGAAGGATTAGTGAGAAAGGTACTGAAAATCTCCTGAATTACTTTATTTTCTTTAAACAAACTGTATTGACATGGTATGTTAAATGTGATGATTTTTGTATTGGGTAATGTTTAGCAGTTTGAGAAAGTCCTATGTCATTGATTTTTTTAAAAAGATCTTGAATTTCTATCTTAAGCCAAAGCCATTTACCTTATAATTATCCCTCTTGCCCAGTGATGATTTAAAATATCCATAAAATGTCAAGAAAATCGTGATGTAGCTGTATAAGCCAAGCACACAGTTATGTTAATGGGTTGCACATGTGTTGACCAAAACCAGGGGTCTGGGAGGTATTTGGGACACAACCACAAGCAGAAGAGATAATCTGGTGTCCCTCCTGTTTTTGTTTTCTGATAAGGAGCAGGGAGTGAGGTGGGGTTGGTTGGATAACAGAGAAAATATGCAAAACGTTTAGCATTTAGGGTGTTTGATTTAAATTAGTTTCTCTAACAGGGTGGTTGCCGTTTGAAGCTCTCCTGGGCTTGCTCCATTCATTTAACAAAAACTAGTGAGCACTTATTACATGTTAGGTCTTCTGGTGGGGATATAGCAGTGAGCAAAATGGACGGTTTCCCTGCCAAGGAGGGGGGTATTCTTGTGGCAGGGGAGATAGGCAAGGAGCAAAAATGCAAACAATGTGTCCGATGGTAGTAAGAGCTACGGAGAACAAGAAAGCAGAATGAGAGTGATAAGGGACAGATTGGGGGTGGGCTTACTATTCTATATAGGGTATCAGGTCACTTTTGAGCAGAGTATGAAGGAACCAAGGGAATGAGCCATATGCTCCCTGCTCCTGTACCAAACTCCCTACTGCATCCCCCCACATGTCTAATCGGAACCTCAAATTCAACATACGCCAAACTGAGTTTTTAATGCCTCTCCCATCTTCAGTCTTCCTTATCTCAGAAATGGCATCATGGTCTATCCATTGGCTCATATAAAAAAACCTAGGACTCGTGACTGATTCCTCCCTTTCCCTTAACTCTATGTTGGCATATCCCATTGAGACTACCTCCAAAATACATCTTCTTCCATCCTCTCTCCCTATTTAATACTGCCACTCTGGTCCAGGCTACCATCATCTCTTGCCTTGACAATTATTAGAGTCTCCTTGCTGGTCTCTTGGTTTCTACTCTTGCCATCCTAATAATCTAGCCTCTTGGTAATTCAGATCATACCACTCACCTGTTCAAAAACTGCCCCCACAGCTAAGATAGCTTCACTAGATTCAGCATTTTAGGTTGGCAGGGATTTTCTTCTATCACTGTAAAGATGTTGTTCCATTGTCTTTTACATTCTGTTGTTTCCATTGAAAATTCAACTGTATGTCTTGTTTTAGTTCCTTTAAGAGAAATGTGTACACACCCATCTCCCCTCAAGCTACTTTTAAGATTTTCTCAAACTTTGGTCTTTTCAACCAACATATGACTCTGTGGGGTTTCCTCAGTACTTTATTGGTGTTTATAGAGCTTCTTGAATCTATGGTTTGATGACTTTTGTTAGTTTTAGAAGAATCTAAGCCTCTATTTCTTCAAATGTTGATTCAATTCCATTCTCTTTCCCCTTCTATTCTGGCCTTTCAGTTTTATGTGTTTTAGACCTCACTATTTCTCATATTGCTTTTATTCTCTTTTTCTGTATTTTCTTCCTTTGTTTTCTTTTTTGTGCATCAAACTGGATGTTTTTTACTGACTTACTACCTTCCAGGTCACTAATCCATCCTTCTCTTGTGTCTAATATCCTCTTGGATTCCGAACTTTGGTTATTGCATTGGTCAGTTTTAGAATTTCCACCTGACTTTTGTTTATTATTCTAGCTCTTTGGTAAAATTCTTCATCTTTTCATCTATTTCCTTAAAGATATGAATAATACTTATTTCTTTTTTTATAACTGCAGCATTTGACTTATCTGTGCATCTCTTTCTATTTCTCATTTTTCTCTTTTTGTTCTGGTGCTATTTCTTGGCATGCCTGGTAATTTTTCACTAAATGCCAGATATTTTATGTGAAAAATCAAAGAGGCTGTGGATGATATCCCTACATACAGGAGCATTTAATATTCTTCTGGGTTGTAGACGTTGTTTGGGTAGGTCTATTTACAGACCCCTTTCTCCCAGCAGACCCTGTACCTGGACCTTGGGCTCCCCAACACCACTGCTGAAGCCTTCGGTCAGCACTTAGCCTCTCTACTGCTGCTTTCCACTTGGTTCTTGGTTCTTTTCTTGTTTTCTTTTTCTTTCCTTCTTTCTTTTTCTTTTTTTTTCTTCAGTGTAGGAGTTGAAGGGAAATCATATGCAGAATTTGGAGCTCATTTTTCTGGATCCTCTTAAATCTCTACCTTCTGGGCAGCCTCAAACTCCAACCCCTCTCTCGGTCCAGGAAGGCTGCAGAGTCCCATCTTCTCCAGCATTCATACTTGTTCTCAGCAGGAGAGCAGGTCTGATCCAGGCTATTCTGTTGTGGCCGGAAGTGGAGGTCTTCCACTGCACTTGGGGTAAAGTCTGCGTTGCTTTCCACTGGGTTGTCTCCTGCCTGTCTCTTTCATACCCTCTCCCCATACCTGGCATATTCTAGCACACTGGACTTCCTTTTTTATCAAATGTATCAAGGCTTGTTCTCACCTTGGGACTTTGTAGTAACAGCCTTGATGGCTCTTCCCCAGATTTGTGCATAGCTGGCCTCTTGGTATTATTTACTCTCAGTTCAGTTATTAGCTCATGAGAGCTTTCTCTCTCTTTCCAGGGGAAGTCCCCAGGTGCTCTGTTTTATTTTCATCCTAGCACATTGCAGTCACCATCTGACCCTACTGTATTTACTTATTTTCTCTTTTCCCACTATTGTGTAAGCTGCGTTCCCACTTGGTGTGGAATAAATGTCAAATGTTAATTGGTAACAATAATAAATGTTAATCGAGTGAGTGAATAAATGAATAAAATAGGCACTAATTCTGGAAAGAATTTTTCAGATTCTTCTTTGCAAACCTCAGTAGGGCATAAAGGAACACAGTTTTCTTTGCCTTATTAGTATTTTGATATGGAATTTTCTGTAAAATACCACTTTTATGTGTTTATGGCATAATGATGACTAACATTTTGTTCATCCTGTTGATATACTAAATTATTCTCTTTGTAAAGATTATGCCATGTTCATTATCATAGAACATTAATTATGTTTTTATTAAAATTCTTTAGAAACTAATAATCTATGCTAATTCTCTATCACCCAGAATATTTAATTAATTAGAATTAATGATATGACTTTGTTTTTGGTCTTATATGGCTTTTTAAGAAAGTGTCATTTATTTTTAGTTTTTATTTTTTTGGATGTACATTTGAAATACGTTTTACTTTTATTTTTTTTATTTAAATTCAGTTAATTAACATATAGTGTATTATTAGTTTCAGAGGTAGTGTTCAGTGATTCATCAGTTGTATATAATACCCAGTGCTCATTACATCATGTGCCCTCCTTAATGCCCATCACTCAGTTACTCCATCCCCTACCCCCTTCCCCTCCAGTAACCCCTCAGTTTGTTTCCTAGAGTTAAGAGTCTCTTATGGTTTGTCTCCCTCTCTGATTTTGTCCTATTTTATTTTTCTCTTCCTTCCCCTTTGATCCTCTGTTTTGTTTCTTAAATTCCACATATGAATGAGATCATATGATAATTGTCTTTCTCTGATTGACTTATTTCACTTAGCATAAATACCCTCTAGTTCCATCCAGGTTGTTGCAAATGGTAAAGAATTTCATTCTTTTTTTGATGGCTGTGTAATGTTCCATTGTATATATATACCACATCTTCTTTATAAGAAAATGACATTTTATATCTTTATTTAACAGGAATGGTTTTTAGGAAAAGCATTACATGATGAAGAATCTACAATAATTCACCATTATGCCTTTTCTGAAAATCCTACAATTTTTAAATATCCAGACTTTGCTGCTGGCTGGGCCCTTAGTATTCCACTTGTAAACAAGTAAGAATTTATTAGACTTTGTGCATGTGTGTATGTGTGTGTGTGCACGCGCGGATCAACTTTTATTTTACTGAGTACTATGATTTATAGATCTCAGGTGAGTTTTGCAGCGGGAGGCAGCGTGTGGTGGAGTGGGAAGGCCTGGAACAGGAGCCGGTACCTGAGGGTCTTGCTTCTCCTCTGTCATGTACTGGTCCCCAGACTGATTACTCATCTGTTTTCTATTTTCTCCTCCTCACCTGCAAAATAAGGTGAGCCCAAGGGAGGGCGCATAAGTGCTCTGAGAACTCTATATCCACAAGTGTTATTACTATTATTAATAGATCTAGTTAACTATAGGTATGACTTTGATCGTCAGTAAGAAAACGAATCTGTAACATGCCCAGGGGTGGGAGTTGATGACAGATTATGTTCATGGGTATACACGTTTAAACAGGGGCCAGGCAGGAGGAACAGTTACCAGAGGCTCTGTAGACAGTCGTACCTAGCTATTTGCGCGTATAATTGCCGTAATGCTTTTCTCAATGTGAAAAGTAAAGATAATTAAGTCGCAATTGAGGAGAAATAGGATTGTTGACAGGCTCTTAATCTGAATGCCTCAGATTAATTATGATGTGTTTTTGTTCTTTAGGGAATAGAAAGTTGACAAAGCAGTTGTGGCCTTTCTATCTTCAAAGATGGAAGGGTATCTATTATTTCTTACATCAGGTTTGCTGTTTCTAGGGTTTTGAGTCTCGGAGAGCTTTTTAGTCCATTGCAGTCATACCAGGTTAGTAGTAGCTTGTCATTTGTGGCTGGCCAACTCTTACTAACCACTCCACTGACGTTTGAAAGTTTTTACAGTGTGAGACCCTCCTTCCCAATGTAGAATCCAGAAAAGGACACCACCACCACCTCCATGTTATATAGCCTTCCTTCCTACTAGACAGCAGCTACGTGAGCTAGGCTCCGTTAGGTTGATGCGCTGTGGAAAGTCTGTTTTGGGAACTGAGTTATATGGAGAAGGAGACAATGAGACAATGCATAGTGGTCCTTTTGGCTTGAGAGGTCATGATAGAGGAGGGGTCAGGTGGAGGCTAGCAGCTGAGACAGTAGCTTCTTGATGTTGCAGCTTCCTGATGGTGGCAGAGGCCACAGCTCCTCGGCTACCCATTTCGGTAGTATCAATCTGGAGGTTGTTCTTGGAATCTCAGCCTAGAGTCTCTTTATTCAGACTTTCCAGTAATTCTGTGAGCCATCTGTATGCACTAATAAGTGTACTTTGTGCTTAAACTGGCCAGAGTGGATTCTCTTATCTCCAACTAAAATGTGTGACCCATTGACCCGTCCTGAGAATACCGGGCAAGGATGCCCTGCCCCCAGCCTGTGCCAGACATGCCTAGGAGGGCCCACACATTTTCCCTGCTCCGTTCTTGGACAGGTTGGGCAGGCGGGGAGGGGGAGCGAGAAGAGAGAGTTGTCATTCCCTTCTCAAACTGCACTGCCTGGCTCTGTTCTCTGCAGAAGTGAGGGGAAGATAATTCTGTTTCAGCAGTCCTGGGTCATCTTTATTTTCAAATGAATTAAGCTTGGGTTTGCTGTAGCTTGAAGACCAGGAGCCTCCGCGACATCTTTTCCCACTGTATCCAGCAGCCTGGTGTTCGGGCCTGTCTGGCTACCTGTGTTTAGTCTGGACTCTCCAGAGCCATGAGCGGCACATCCCAGCCCCAGAGCTGTTCTTGTGCCTTCCAGATTCTTCGTCCTGGTGATGGCCTTCCTCCCCTCTGTCCTCACTCTCTGTCCTTAGCTTCATAGCCTGGCATTACATGGCCTGACTCCTCCACATGAGTTCCGGTGGCTGTGGCTTCTCTGACTTGGGGGTTAGAAGCTCTTCCTAAGTCTGTTTGTCTTCCGTTTCCTGGAGAGCCAAGTCCCTTGAGAGAGGGACAAGCACAGCTATAACTTGTGCTATGCAGTACTCTGAGCACAGGTGCTACCTTCTTCCCCCCCCAAGGCTAAAGAGAAACCCATGGACCTGCAAAGATCTTGTACAGCAAGCCTGGAATATAACCATCTCTCTGAAGCCAGTACAATGCCCTTCTCCATCCTTCCCTCCCGATCCAGGAGGCCACTCATCCAGGAGACAAATCCTGTAGTTTAGAGAGTTTCACTTCTTTCCATCCCCCATCTGGCAAGGACCTTGGGGGCCCCTTGATGCTGGATTCAATTCACCTTTTACTGAGTTAGGTGTAATAAGGAACTTAATTATTGCTTTCCTTTTATTTATTTATTTTTATTTATTTTTATTATGTTAGTCACCATACATTACATCATTAGTTTTTTTCTTTTTTTAATTTATTTTTTTTAAATTTTTTATTGTTATGTTAATCAGCATACATTACATCATTAGTTTTTGATGTAGTGTTCCATGATTCGTTGTTTGCGTATAACACCCAGTGCTCCATGCAGTATGTACCCTCTTTAATACCCATCACCAGGCTAACCCATCCCCCCACCCTCCTCCCCTCTAGAACCCTCAGTTTGTTTCTCAGAGTCCGTAGTCTCTCATGGTTCGTCTCCCCCTCCGATTTCCCCCCCTTCATTTTCCCCTTCCTGCTATCTTCTTCTTCTTCTTTTTTTTTTTTTTAACATATAATGGATTATTTGTTTCAGAGGTACAGGTCTGTGATTCAACAGTCTTACACAATTCACAGTGCTCACCATAGCACATACC